TTTTTTTTTTTTTTTTTTTTTTTTTTTTTTTTTTTTAAGTCGCTGATCCAGGGCGAAATATAAGTGAACAGTTGGAAAACTTAGCTTCAAAATTTTGTTTCTTTGCAGTTTTTTCGTGGTAAAAAAAGTAAAAAAATCTTTTTATTGTTATTGGTTTTTTTTAAAGCTTCCAATTTAGTTTCCTCTCGAAAAAAACTTTTTGAAAATTTATTCAGCACTCTTTTTTAGTCAAAGAATTTGTAATGAAGCAGAAAACTCGGTCATCATTCTTAATAACTGAATGAATAGTCAAAATAAAGAATATATTCTAGAAAAGAATTTTTCCTTTTTTTTCTTCCTACTTTATTTTCAATACTTTTTGAGTTTGTTGATTGCAAGAACAGTTTCAAAACGTTGATTTGCAATTAATACACACGATGTGCACTGAAAATTTCACACGAAAATCTTATTGTTTTTAACAGCACTGAACGCAGTTGATGAATTCGCAGTGGCACTCAACTGTGGACAAATCACTAAAAAATTTTTTTCAGAAAACATTGTTTAACCAGCAGAATATTCAATGAGCTCTTCCAGTTCCAAAAATCACCGTAAACCTCATTGTTTAAAAAAAAAAAACCTTTTATGTTCTTATTTATCTATCCACAACTCTTTTTTTTTTTAAACCAGACAAGAAATGCAGCAACAACATACAGATAAATTAAAGGTTCAGCAGCAGCGTTTCACCTAACAAAACTATTCAGCTGACTTAGCCACACACGTCAATTTGCCTAGCGCTTAAATCACTGAAGCGTTATGACACAACAGAAGGGGTAATAAGGCACAGAAAGATGTTTTCAGGTACAGTTGTTATGTCCAATAGTGACCCTTAGAACAAGCCAATTCTTACAATACATTGTTTTTGTCTACTGAACGCAGTTGTCAGCCAATTGTCAACAGAGGAAGTTATCGAACAACCTTTGTTTTAAGGTGCTTTGTGAAACAGCTGCAGATGTTATTAGTTCAACTAAAGATTAGTGGTATGACAAACCTTATGAGTGATGAGAGTGTTGCTTCGGCTAAAAGTTTTTTCGCAAACATCGCATCTGTACTTCTTAACGTTAGTTTTTTCAGTGGCAGCATGTGAATTTCTTATTCTTCCATGATGCTCTGAAATTACCGAATAAAACTAACCACTGAAAAAAAAATAATCAATTAAATTTATGTAAACCTTTATTATGTCTTGTTAATGAAATAGATTGCGCTGTAGATGCAAAAGGTTGATGTAGTGGTGTAGCCAAATTACAACCGGGTGTCCACTGCCGCGACATAACCTGCTGTAAGAAGTCATACTTCTTAAAGTATGACGACAGTGTCAAAGCTTGTAACGTACTTTGTATAGCTGTATTCTAAAAACAAAAACTTTATAAAATTTTCATTTGGAATTCAGAAAACAATCCACTTTTTGCTTTTTTTTTTCAAGCTGATTTAGACGGCTTTATTTTATTAGGCTTTATTATTAAAAAAAAAAAGTAAAAATCAAAATATAATTATTAACAGATTGGAAAAAAAATATTGAAATTCTCAACCGACTTGGTACTGCGGAGTAGCTGCAGAAAATGTTGGATCTTGTTGACACTCAGAAAGATTGGCCAGGATGCGCTGAAACTGTTGTTGAGCTACCGTATTCAGAGCTGACCGAGACGGTTCCAGATTCATTGGTTTTGTAATTTCAGACGGCTGTATTTCAATAGTTTCAAAACATGGACTTAGTAATGAACTTGGTCTTACCAAATTACGACGTCTGAAATGCAGAAAACTGGGCTTTTATCGGTGAAAAAATGCTTTCAACTTTTGAAAAAATATGAAACTTTTTGGCATTTTATTTTTAACATATCTGTGCTTTAAATTTATACTAACAACTATTGACAAATCTCTGAAAATAGAAGCATATATATTTATTTATATATTTATATATATACTAAATATACAACAAAAATTCGACCAACTTTTTGTACTCCAGTTTCACAGTTTCGAAATTTTTTTCATTTTTATGTTTTCCAAACAACAATGAATCAATGAGAAAAGAACTTCTTGGTTTCGTTGATGCCATATAAAGTTTAGGTCTGAAGAAATAAAGTAACTAAGAACTATATAAGTTCAATAGTATGTTACAGTAACATAAAAGGAGAAGTTTTATTCATTTTTTATCGGAACTGCTCTTATAAATAAAGTTTACTTGCCAACATTTTTTACAATATATACAGTTGTTATGGCCAAAAAGAGAGAGTAAATCAATGCTTGCAGTACCTTGTCGAACTTATAAGCAAAAGTGTTAGACAATAATGGTATAAAATAGCTATGTTTAAATTTAATAAACAACAAGTTCTGATTTTACGAGAAAAAGCAATTTAACTAAAAATAAGAGCTTTATAAAGAGCTTTTTAAAAACTTTTTGAAGTTTAGGCTGAGAAGTTTTTTAGTGTTAAACGCTGATTATAGAAAATATAAAATAGAATAAGATAGGTTTCTGTTTCAGTTTACTTAAAATTATGTTTTGGTAAGTCAGTAAACAAAACGAATAAATTTGCCGAATCTGTATAGGTTACTGTATTATTCTGAAAGATAAATAAAAAATTTTAATTAAATTTTTTTATATTCTTTACTGAAAATATTTCTTGATAGCGTATAAACGTTAGAATGCAAGCACACAACTTTTAACAACTTCTAAAAGTTAATAACAAAGAGTTGTTGAAGATTCAAGCTCTAGGTTTTGATGTAATCAAGTAGGCAGTAGATATAACAATTGTTAAATATAGAAACCTAACTGTAGACAGCAAAATACCAGTGATAGATCAAAATGTTCAATAAAAATTTAAGAAACACCTTACGTTTCTTTTTTTTGATAATTATAGCAGAATTAATAGTATAATCGAAAGCTAATATAATGCGATAAAATTAAGAAAAAAAATTAAGCGAAAATTTGCAAGAAATGCCGAGATTTCATAGAGCCGTCAAGAAAGGAGATGAGCGACATGTCACACACCGCCTTCTATGCATTATACGGTAACTGCGAGGCTGCGCCGTTTAAGCCGAACAGATCTCAGTTTGCCAGCAAGCGCCGCCTATGGAACCAACGGAAGAAGGAAAACCGCACTGTTTGCCTGAT